GCAGCTTCTGCTGCTGTTCCCCTCGCATAGCTTCATTTCTGCTGGTAGCGAGACATTGATTGACTGATTGATTGATTGATTTATTGATTGATATGTGGGGTTTAACGTCCCAAAACCCCTATATGATTATGAGAGACGCCGTAGTGGAGGGCTCCGGAAATTTCGACCACCTGGGGTTCTTTAACGCGCACCCAAATCTGAGCACACGGGCCTACAGCATTTCCGCCTCCATCGGAAATGCAGCCGCCGCAGCCGGGATATGAAGCCGCGACCTGCGGGTCAGCAGCCGAGTACCTTAGCCACTAGACCACCGCGGTGGGGCTGGTAGCGAGACAGGTAAGCAGTAACGACAGTAATCCATCTTTTCCCCCCCGCCGCGGTGGTCTAGTGGCTAAGGCACTCGGTTCCTGACCCGCAGGTCGCGGGTTCGAATGCCGGCTGTGGCGGCTGCATTTCCGATGGAGGCGGAAATTCTGTAGGCACGTGTGCTCAGATTTGAGTGCACGTTAAAGAACCTCAGGTGGTCGAAATCTCCGGAGCCCTCCACTACGGCGTCTCTCATAATCATATGGTGGTTTTCGTACCTCACATATCAACCTCACATATCAATCAATCAATCCATCTTTTCCCCAGTGTAGAAGTTAAGAATGGGCCCAGAAAATCTATTAGAACATGGGCTGATGACCCTGCTCGTGCTTCGACTCGATGCAAGAGACGGGCTGGTTTTGCCCGGGTGAGGGAAGGGAGGGGCGCCTTGCGTCTTTGGCAGTCGGCACAAGTCTGCACGTGATACTCGACAGCAGCAGCTTTAGCCAGCAGTACTTGCGTCACCATCCACACGATGTCCGAATTGTGGCCTAGATGATAAGAGGCGACTCCATCGAGGCACGCGTTACGAATTTGTTTTTTGGGTGATGCTGGTACGGCGAGAAAGTGCATGCTACCACTTGCAGAAGTATTTTTCTTGTGGATAACCGTTTTTTCGCAAGCAAAAAGACGTCTGACGTTGATTCGCCGACGTTTTAGAAGGATGCCATGCTGGCGAGAACAGGAAAACTCGTGAAATCCGGGCTTGTGCCTAAAGCAGGCGCCGGCTGAATCAGTATTCTGGAGTTGGGACATGATGTCGAGTCTACACTGGCTGTACGGGTCCTGTTCAAGCTATCTGCATTAGGTTGAATACTCCAGCATGTCTACCGGTGTCGCGAAGTCGGGAGATCACAACGCACAGATTGACAGAAGAGCAACCGGTCAGCCATTCAATAACACGCATAGTGAGGTCTTCTTTTGTATTTTCTAGTTTGTGTACATAGCATATACACACGTGGTCGTCTTTCTTACCTCACGTATAATAATGAGAACTTACATCCCATAACGCCCGGGAAAGTATGTGGGATGCTAATAGAAGTAATTTTTATAGCAAATGGGAAGAGAGAAAAAGTGAACGACAAGATCCGAACCTGAGACCATCGAATAACGTGTTCGATGCTCTATTACTGAGCTACAGTGGCGGTTATCTCCTCATCCACTTTATACTGTATGTATGTGTATTGAAACATAGGAGCATCTGTCAGCGCCACCTGTTGCCATGGTGGCGAGTGTGAAACAGTCTTCTTGCCTGTTTGGCGTCACGATGTACGTAATGTTATTACGAGATGGAAGCTGACGAATAATCCCTCGCATACCACGTTAAGGCATCAGGTCTGCTAGAACGAGACCCTCTATATTAATGAGGAAAAGTGAAAATTCTAGGGCTTGTTTTCTTTCGTTATGCGCACTATTATTGCGAAGTTTCTTGGCAATATTGTCTGTTATGTTGTCAATAATATTGTGGATAACAAAGGAAACGAGCTCTAAATTTACACTTTACTTTACCCCACGTATATAACAATATCAATTCAGTTATCTGTTTGTGTATCCACATTCTTATTTTATTTGTTTGTCTGGTGCACGATATGGTGGTCGAAACTTACGGAGCCATTCAATACGGCGTCCCTGATAATGATATCGTGGTTTTGAGATGTTAAACCTCAACAAAAGATTACCTGAGAAATTATTGTCATGCATCAGGGGTTGGGCCCACAGTTGCGCGAGCGCACTTGCTTACTCGCACACTTAATAATGCAAATGTATCTCTAAGCGTTCAATGCACCTAAATACAGAAACGTCACAGAAATGACATCACGAGTAGCGGCAGCTGTCATACCAGTTGATTTCAGCTTCAACGGCCCCATACAAAGCCGAACAAACGAGCACTAGACGCAAAACAAACAAAGAAGCAAGAGGCTCTATATTATTTGTCGTCCATTCACTAGTGACAAGGAGATGCTTCTTGAAAACAACACCTTGCTATAAACTACTTCTTCACGCACGCTTTTCATTGACTCGTTACACTGAATGTGTTTGCGCATCCAACTGTCAAGCACTAAAGTTGAAGGGGCTGTACGCTGGGCCCAGACATACGTCCTTCGTTCTTTAGTGTTATTCTCATGTTGCATTTCGGGAAAATTCTTGTTGCATCATGATTTAGGATGGACGAATTGGATACCAAAAGTAAGCTGCATGATTTTACACTACTGTCTATTTAGGCTTAGTGAGATTTCGTTCTTGTTCCTAGCTGATAGTATTAATAATTTGTTGCATAATAGAATATGCTTCAGCACCTACGTCGGCTCCCAGCACAGTTTGGGGGTGGCTATAAATAAGTAAATATATATTTAAATAAAATATTTAAGTTAGTATTTGAATTAAAAGAAAGAAAGCAGTATGTAACATTCACATTTCTATGATGGTTCATTAGTGAAATTCATGAGTACATTGCTTTGTTGTAAATATTTCTTTTAGTATTTCAGAATTTTAATTTATTATTTGCTATCACAGCCCACCTACGTGTGTTTTTTTTTTATTGTCGCATTCTTTTGCTTGAAGTTTTGTAACTTTCCCGTTTTCTGGGTGGAAGGGTCAGACAAGAAGGGTCAGACATGTTTTGTTTTTTTCCTTTTTCAAACCATTTCAAAAGCACCCGACACAAATTAAGCGCCAGAAATAACAGGATCTACAGTGCACTTTCTGAACAAAATTGTGTGTAATATTGGCGTCCACTGCTGCGCAAGTAAATCGGAATGATTGCGTGAACGGGAGCCGTTGAAAGCGGTGCATCTCTAAGAATAGGGCATTTGACCTGTAAGCAAAAAATGCAGCAAATATAAGAAATTAGTAATAGCCATAATAAAATAAACACACGCAAATAATACCCCCACGGGATTGTTCATACAAATGACAAAGTAGTCCCCTCATCTGGATACATTTATTTCCGAATTTAAAACAATCGTGGTAGAACTATTGTCCCAAGAAACATTCAATCATTTCCCAGAGCGTTAAAGTTTGAGCACAGCTGCTGCATTTGCTCGCGTTAAGGTGGAAGTCCTGAAGCACGGGGGCTAAGTTCTGGTCGACCAGTAGACACACACAGAGCATGGAGCTCGGCCGATACACTTTATGACGAGAGTGTTTTGTGCCGGCCAAGTCAAGATGAAAGTGGCGAAACAATTTTTCCACAAGTTACAATGTCTTCTCATGTTCGCAGAATTTTAGTCCGGGGCTTACAAGAGACAAAATTTGGCTTTCGCACTCCAATTTGAATGATGCCAAAGGTGCCCTTTTTTTCTGAAAACTCTCGTGACATGTTTCAATGTTTTTGTTGGTGTGAAGAACAAAATGCTGCGTTTCCCGTATTCGTATGACGATTCTGCTCGTTAACTCGCTCGCGATTGTTCACTTATGCAGGTATGTATTTTTTTAAAATTTCAGTTTCATTACCGCAACTTCCCAAAGCGTGTTAGCTCAACTATCTTCTACATTTTGTTGCGGCCCCCAATTTTTTTTAGTGAATGTTGCGTGGGGTGGGCAGGGGCAGTGTTTTCGGCAACGGTGACTCAGTTGTCACGGCACTCGCCTGCTGGCCCGAAAGACGTTGGTGCCATCATGGCCGCAGAGGTTGCGTTTTTATTGAGGTGAATTGTGCTAACCGTGCGATGTCATTGCACTTTCATGAACGCCAAGTGGTCGAAAATATCCAGGGCTTCCCAATACGGTCCCCCTCATAGCCTGTGTCTTTTTGGGGAAATTATTTTCATCAACTAACCAACTGAGCAAGCAGCTTTAGTGCACTTTACAAACTTGAATAAGTTTGCCTTTCCTCTGTCGCAATTTTTTTTTGTAATATCTCCCTCTCTTCGCAACATTTTTTTTTAACATCTTTCATTCCCCTCACCCCTTTCCCCAGCACAGGGTAGCCAGCCGGTCTAAGAACTGGCTAACCTCCCTGTCTTTCCGCTTAAACTTTCTTCCTCCTCTTCCTCCTGAATAAGTTCCTTGTCAATTCTAAGGTAGTCTTACCAAGATAAAACTTTTCACTTTGATCTAAAAGTCGTGGGTTCGAGCCCAGTTGTGAGAGTCGCATTTAGATTTAGGCCATTTGCGGGAGGCCTTGTACTTCCCGATGTGAGTGCACATTACATAGCACCAGGGGGTTGAAAACATACGAAGTTCTCCACTACGGCGTGTCTCGTAATTAGGCCTATATTGTGACTTTGACTCATAAAGCCCACAGATAATTTAGTTATTAAAACCGCATACAGCTTTGGATTGTTTATGTGATTACATGATCACGTGTACAGCTAAGTCTGCAGGACCCAACCCACATTGATTCAACAACGACAACACTGGACTGACTGTTTTGTGCGAACATCACAGTAACGTTTCATTTTTTTACGCGTCGCATGCAGAGCGATAACGCTGCCCCATTCAGTTTCCCACGGGAAACCTTGGCCATGCGACACAATCGCACGATCGGATAGTGATCGCCTAGTAAGTAAAAAAAAAAAGAAGAAGAGAAAAGTAAAAGAACGTAAGAAGAATCACGTGCCTCAGCAGGCTTCCTATCAGCTGAGCGAGAGCGGGCTTGCTTTTGCTGCAGATAAATAGGCGGTCGTGAACCGAGTCAGCGCTGACCACAACTTGCATGCCTTCTGCAGCGCAACTCTGAAGAGATCTGTCTTCTCGAGCAACTTTCCGAGTTTGGAGCAACACATGATCTGTCTAGTTGGAAACAGTGAATAGAGGTAAGCCGTGTGGATCTTTATTTTTTGTTTTTTGTTTCAGCGTGGGTATTTCATGCAACGACGAAAGAGAAATTGAGAGCGTCCACTTACCCCTCCCTTTCTTTTTATTGAACTCGTTCTGTCGGGCGTGTTGTAAGAAGCGTTTCAGACCCGTCTGGTTGGTTGAATGGCCGCAGGCGAAATAAATGATTAAAAATGTGGGCTATGCGTTGGAAGATGAAACGTTTTTGTGCGGCGAAGAGCGTAGGAAAACTTGTATTTTTCACAGAGATGGTTCCGGTTCATGCCATGAAGAACGTAAGAAAATTTGCTCTTATTTTTCACACAGATGGTTTCGGAGAAAGTTTTAGGTGGTCGTTGGATGCTGTAACCCAGTTGGCTATAACTTTCTGGCTGGATCTGACGTAATCCAGAAACTTACTGAAAGCTTACTGTAACAATGACATGGTTTTATTTTGTTCACTGCGTAAGCGTCGACCGTATACTCATAATTTTAGCGGCTAATAGATTGTGTTACTCATTTGCAAAGTTTAAAGTGCTCTATGTAGAGTCTTGTTTCTCGCAAAACACTTCTTTTTTTATTCTTGTGCATCAGTGACATTGACCGTAAGCCATTTTACGTAAGCTGTCGTTTACTTTGGAATGCATTCCACTGCCTTATATTAGCACTGCGGTATTCCGCTTCTCTGTTCTCTAAACAATTGTTCTGGCATATGCCTGTGTAAAGTTTCTTCTCGAGCTCTATAATGCCGGCATGCGCTTCTTTTATTTCGCACTCTAAACCCTGTGCTTGGGTGCGTGGCGTAATTACCAGGAGGGTGTCGAATAATACACAACATTCCCACAAGAAAGTAACATTCAAGAGCGCATAGGAACAGTGGTAAAATAATCAGCATTAAAGAAGAGAAAGAGGTAATGTTATTTGATGAACTTCCCGGAGATCTTAAACTTTTTTTGTCACCTAGATTGCTACACCATGCAGTTTTCGGGTAACGGCTATACGATATGCCCCGCCGTGGTGGTCTAATACTCGGCTACTGATCCGAAGATCGCCGGATCAAATCCCAGCTGTGGCGGCTGCATTTTCTATAGAGGCGGAAATGATTTAGACCCGTGTTCTCAGATTTAGGTGCACGTTAAAGAACCCCACGTGGTCGAAATTTTTGGAGCATCACTACGGCGTCTCTCATAATCGTATGGTGGTTTTGGGACGTTAAACGCCACATATCATCAATCAACGGCTACGATATAGACAATGCTCCGATATATACACGAATAATGAGTGCACTCGCAAACGCACATATATGCACAAAATATTCCTTAACACACTTTCGTTAAGTCGAGTGTTCCTCAACAACAACAGTGCTTTTGTGTGCCGCATCGCACATCAGCTGTCTAATTGCTACGGGCTTGCAATTAGACAGCAATATTTAATGAGCCCTCATCAAATGCCTAAGTATTGTTCTGTTTTGATGCGGTATTTTGTGCAAGAAATTTGATTATATTAGTGCATCTGTGGAGATATATAATTTAGTATTTGAAGCGTAGTATCCCGACTTCCCATTTGAAGACCGACGTGAAAAGTGGCACATGTGTTTGGACTTGTAATATTCAAGCACTAAATTCGCATATAGGCATGGCCGTAAAACAGCCACGGTGTTCTCTGAAAAGTTTGTCTATTGGAGCATTTATTTGTATTCCTTTTATCTACATATTACCTGCTGTTGCCAATGTGGAATTCGTGTAGCTTGACCTCAGCTCTAAATTGCTCACTTCATCGCGCCTCAGTATTATGGGACAATATATTTTGGTTGATGAGTGTAACGTGAATGTAACGACAAGATATAATTTTCGAAATGTAACTGCAGCAAGTTCCTTGTCAATTAAAGAACTTGTACCGGGAACTCATTTCAAAGTTGATAAGACATGAAGAACGGGCCTTCGCTACTCTTTTAGAGGAATGTTCGCAACACTGCTGTGACGTCACGTGAAAACTCTTTTTACTATTGTCTTTCGCAAGTCAAGTGCTTATTTTGATCGTGTCAATAAAAACGCGTTCCTTATATTTTGCATAAAGCACGGTGCACGTGCATTACGAAAGTAGCTGCCGCCCTCCGGTCTCATGTTTCCACCATCTCCTGCACTTTAGACCAGTGTTCTCAAACACGTGGCCCACGGTTCTCTCGCATATGGAAGCAGGGCCGGCAGGCTGGTGTGCACTTCTCTCACTAAAGGTTTTGCAGCTTTCGCGAAGCTGGCCTGACAGAATGCCCCAAAAGTTCATTCCTCAAACGTAGCACGCAGCAGCGAGTCAGCAAAAGTGGTGGAGCTCACTCAGACTTCGGGCTTCTTTAAAGTGGCCCTGAAACACTTTTTCAAGTTACCATGGAATGAATTCGCTGGAAGAGCTTATTGCCTCCCGAATTAAACGGCGCAAACATTTTAAGAATTCGTCCAGTACGAGTGAAGTTACAAAGATTTCTTGCACGAAGCAATTGCATTCTCTCTTTTCTCGGCCAGACGAAAGCGCTGGAAGCTAAGCAGGGAAGGAGGCAGGGGTAAAGAAACTACGTCACCCGCGCCTCGTAATTTTTAGCACTTTTTTTCAGTTTTTTTTCTTCAAATGCACGGTTTTTTTTTTCAGGGTAATCAAGCGCGCACGCATGGACAAATCAATGCCTCCCGCGGCAATCTCTGTAACGGCCGAGCGCGCCATGTTCAAATCAGCCAATGGCTGATAGATGGGCTTGCTACGCGTGATTTTTATGTCGAGAGAAGAGAAAGCAATTTTGAGCTGAGTTTAATAATTTATTGTGAATTTCAGGCCACGTGCTGCGCTATATTATTGAACTCGCGTGTTGTCGGAAGCCTCTATTATCGATCGGCAGCGTTTTCTGACCATGCTCAAAAAGTGTGACAGGTCCCCTTTAAGCGCGGGGTATGGTTTCGTTTAAGCGCTTTGGGAAATTTGTTGCTTTACGTGTGTGAGTGTACCTTTCGCGTATTCTTGCTTTCTGCGCAACTCATAGTGCCAGCTATTCTGAAATTAAGCTCCTGTGATCCTTCTACATGAACATTTTTTCATTTCGCATGCTTGTATATACACGTGCACATACGCGTGCGCGAAGGCCGCGCATGTGTAGCGTGTGTGCATGTATGTTCGTGCGTATATATGTCATGTTCGTGCATTCGTAGCACGCGTGGTGTGCGTGCATATATGTGCTTTGAACATCAACTATTGCCAACACGAACGCACGAGTGTTCGGAAGCATACGACCATATTTATTAGAAACCTAAATAAATGAATCGACGAACAAAAAAAGGAGCACTCATACTACACTAAAAGGTACGATTTGCCTAATCTTAAGATATCCTTGACCCATACATAGCTCCATTCTTCAATCAAGTGAACGGCATGCATATGCAGCTTTTGACGAACAACAGAAGTGCGGAGTTGCCTCGAAAACTGTTAAGGCCTTGCCTGTAGCAGTGTATGGCAACACCACGCAAAAGTGCTAGCCAGCTTTAGGAGAGACCAACTACGCATGAGCAGTTGCTTTCTTTAACCTCGGGCTCGCTAGACAGGTTCATCAGCTTGATGCAAATTCGATGCGATTCGCGAAAGAGGTTCAATTTTTGTGCGCACAGGGCAACTATTTCCGCTGGTTGCTCAGTGAAATGCTGTATGCCGATGAGAATGAGGTGATCTGCCGCCAGCATCCTTTCACTCTCGACGAAGCAACGCTATTCGACGCCAGAATCAAGAAACTTCAGCAAAGCGCGAAAATGCACGTGGCCCTGTAAAGCGCAGCCATCTTTGTTTTTTCTACCAGTCTTGCCAGTACACGAAGTGATTTATGGAGTTACGAATAGTTTGCCTGTACTAATCAGCACCTCCAAGACGAACCTTCGCGTCTTGGAGGTGTTGGTTAGTAGCTCACGCCCTCAGCCCTCAGAGTTTGCCTAGGTCTTCCCAAATGTTGCCCAACAGAAGCGACTATTGCCATCGCCCAGGACTAAACAATTCAAACGCACATTGCGTCGGAAGCGTTGAGAGCTGACGTCAGGCATTTCGCTCAAGCTCCTAACCACCACCTGGAAACACTGCGCCCAGAAAGACTGCAAGCATAATACTTCGCAACAATTTCAAACGTACTACTCCATCGGCTCACGTTAGACTGTAGCCCCACTTCTAACTCATCTGTTCCACCTTAGTGTTTGATTCGTCCTGCAGTGTGCCTTACCGTACCCGGAATAAACCAAGTTGTCATCGCATGTCTTGAAACGGCTATATCTGCTTCTACTGTACGAGAAATACACCGACCACGTACGTATTCACACTGACGGCTCAACGACCAACGACCATCTCAAGTTTATCTGGAGCGATGGTTGTGTCGGCGAAAGGGTAAACTATTAATTTTAAGACCAGCCACCTACAACATAAGCGACTGCAGAACTCGCACCTCTTCACGCTGCACAATGATGATTAATTCTTAGCGACTGCAAAGAACGATCTTTTTTGTGAACCATGCAGCGTGGACCATGTATACGAACAGGTGGTATTAGATATACTGCAACTCATTCATGCATCATTTCAGAAGGAGTACCAAGTAACATTTCAACTGTTGCCAAGTCACTGCGGTGTGATTGGCGACGAACGTGCCAATAACCCTGCCCTGTCAACTTTACGGCGACAAGGTAGAGGCTATAATTCTTTCAAGGTCTGATGCTGCTGCCATGCGATACAGAATCGCAAAGGACATTTCACACTCATCACTCACTACATCAAAAAGCCAAAACTACCGGCAACACCATCTAAATACGCTGCGGCGATTTCAAATATCAACTAGACTCCGAAGAAGAGAGCGTACTGTGTAATGCCACTTACGGCTAAGAGTGGCTTTCACGAAGTCATATTCGTTTCGAATAGGATGACCGACAACACTCTTTTGCGGCGCCTGCGGCACCAGGGAGACTTTGTAGCATATATTCTGCGACTG